TTTTCTCTGTTGTGGAACCATGCAAACCAGCAGCAAAGCTGCACGTATTCCTTTCCACATAATGTGAAGCATGTTCTTTACTCGCCAGTCTCACATGTAACTACGTGCTGTGGGCTAAAGGGTCAAGTTTCTGAAACTATGACTAGAAGTGAATAACGTTTTATTCTTTAAGAAGATATAAGCTGGGCAGCTACGTGATTATTAGCTCGTGCGTTTAAGTGATTCAAAGTAGATAAATGCCTGTTTGTCTGGGTATTATATTTTCACGGTGTATTTTCTGGGGGTAAGACAAACTGTTGTTCTAGTAGTAGCGCAGTGAAAGAGTTGCTATTGAAAATTGGTGCAGTCAAACGAGCTGTGGTGAAATCATGGTGCGGCTGACTTTGTACCAGTTTTTAAGGTTAATACTACGTGCAATTAGCCCATTTTGGCAGTTGATAACTTCAGCAGCGCTGTTTCCGTCCTTACCGAGTAGCATCTCACAACAGGCATCCTGAGGGCAAGAGACCAGAGGTGACACAGGAGGCTGATGATATCCGAGCGGTCCTTGGGCTGAACAAAGCCGTTATAGAGACTACTCGCTTCTCCTGAGGGATTTTCTTAAACTGGTTAGCTTATGACCTGAACATTTTTATTATCTGAAAGTAGCGATAAGAGAACCAGTGCCAATCCTTTGGCAGTTTCTACAGTGTCGTCGTTCTACTAAGGTCCAACAGCAGGAAAAGCACAAGTTTACACTGTTGCTACGATGCAAGTGTTACTCTCAGGCGTTTTAAAAAATTCTGTTAAGACAAACGTGGAAACGGACGAATCCTGAACTTGCAATGTTTGCTTTTAATTTCTGCAAAGGGATTTACTAACTGGAATAAGAGAGATTTTAACCAGTTCATCAAAGCTAATGAGAAGTGGGGCCGTGACGATATTGAAAATATAGCACGAGAAGTAGAAGGAAAAACCCCGGAGGAAGTCATTGAGTATTCAGGTAACTTCTTTTTCAACTAATGTCCAGTCTGTGTCTGATGCTGCTTTTCTAGTTTGAAACGCCTGTGAACGAGCTGACCGACTTCCGTGCGCTTCTTGTATGGCTCTTTTAAGTCTCTCGTTGGATTGTGCTGATGTAGTTGGGCTCTATTGAGAAAAAAATGTCGCAGGTTTAGCCCCCGCGTGGTTAAAGCTGTACTGAGACCTGCACACGAGCTGTTACAGACCTCCTGTGATATCTTCCTATTGGAGAGCGCTGGTTTCAATTCTTCCTCAGTTTTGCGAAAGGCAGCGCTCAGCAAAAAGCGCTGTTTTCACTAAGCAGTAGCTGTCTCAAATAATTATACCTTTACTATGTACCTCACACTGTTAAAGCACGAGATGCTGTAAATATGCTGCAAGTGAATGACAACCACTGGCTTTTGTGACCGAGGACCAGTTGGCCCCTTAGCCCTGGCCTGTCAGAGAAGCGGCTTGTGTGGAGCGCAGCTGCACTGTTGAGCATCTACATTACATAATGTGTACATTACACATACATAGTGGTACACAGCTGCTGATTTATGGATGTGATGTTTAAACAGTTACTCGTCTTTTAGACACTTTGTTCCTGCCTTTGGCTACTTTCTTACGCTGTCTCACCCCCTTCCTTCCGTAAAGCCATATTGCTGTTTTGCCACTTTCAATTTTAAGACTTTTAAGTTGTTTTTTTTTTTTTTTTTGCTTTGAGAAGATTAGTTAATAAGAGTAGATTTCTGGCCTATGTCACACCTCTTTTAACATGAAGACTCCTATATCTACCATCTTCAAAATAGTATTTGCAGTACTGCAACACGATTTCAGGCATTGAAGTTAGCTTATCAGGTAAAGGCGCAGCCTTTTTTATACAGCAGCGAGCTCTGGTAGAAGGAAATAACATCTACTGCCTGTTCAGGCTAACACCTCATTCCAAGAAAAGGATCTAACCTGTTTTTCTTCTCGCAGCTGTGTTCTGGGAAAGGTGCAACGAACTTCAAGACATAGAGAAGATCATGGCTCAGATAGAAAGAGGAGAAGCCAGAATTCAGAGACGGATCAGCATAAAAAAAGCACTTGATACGAAGGTATCGTTGCTGTGTTTCTCGCTGCCCTTATTTCCCCGTGCCAAGGAGGCGAGCTGTTGTGCTGTGTACTTACCCAGTCTTTGTTACCAGTACGTTAAGAAGACGTCGCTGGGCACCATATCGCTGTCTTTGGTCTGTTCATCAGCGGTTGCTACCTTTTCCTTTTCTGTAGAAGCGCTATTCCTTTGCAGGTTCTACTTTTGAATTTACTTGCTTTATGTAGACTAAAAATTCCTATTTTGGCTGATAGCTGTGATGATAATTTCAGGTTTAGCCGCACACGCTTTACTTTTCTTGTGATTTTACCATCCCGATCAGAAAGAATCCCAGCCAGACCGGCAGATTTCAACCATTTTCACACGTAGTGTCAGGTCTGCAGTGCGCAGATAATCGAGATTACTGGCAAACTTTTCTAAACCCTCTTGTTTAGATGATATTAATAAAGTCAATGGCTAGAAAATCAACAGTTCCTACGGCGTGGTGATGTTAGAAATCTAGTTCTCTAACTTGGTATCATTCATCTACCTGTCAGGATTATTTTGCTTTTATAGAAAACAGTTCCGTGCTACTTCTACACAGTTTCTTAGTTTGTATAATCTTATTTGTTTCGTTTAGATTGGCAGATACAAAGCCCCTTTCCACCAGCTGAGAATATCGTATGGTACTAACAAAGGGAAGAATTACACTGAAGAGGAGGACCGCTTTTTAATCTGCATGCTTCACAAGCTAGGCTTTGATAAAGAGAACGTCTACGATGAATTAAGACAGTGTATCCGAAACTCCCCCCAGTTCAGATTTGACTGGTTTCTCAAGTCTAGAACTGCCATGGTACGTATCAATCTCACGCGCTCCTTCCCTGCGAACACCGCACCGACACACCGCAGTTATATGGCAGACTTACTGAATGGCTTCTGCGAGAGTAAGTGTGTGCATGTGTACAATATATTAAATTTTTATAGACTTTTCGACAAGTTTAAGATGGTAAAGGCAGTAATCTAAAATTGTCACGGGAGGTGAAATTTAAACCTCCAGTTACTGCCGTATTTCACAGTCACCGTGAGTTTGAATGAAATACAGCTGTGTTTTAAAAGCCAACATCGGAGATCAAACCCACTCCTGTGTAGCCAGATAATGGCTATCGTAAAGCGTTCAATTCCTTTTTCTACTTCCAAGGTTTTGCACAAAGTACAAAATACGTACAACTTACAGGTATTTCTAGTCTTCTGACGTGATGCTGTTTACACTGAGTAGCTGTCTAAAGTAGTGAGTGACTCTGTTGCGTTATTTAGGAGCTACAGAGGAGATGCAATACTTTAATCACCCTGATTGAAAGAGAGAACATGGAACTGGAAGAAAAGGAAAAGGCAGAGAAGAAGAAACGCGGACCAAAACCATCTTCGGTAAGATTTAAAAAGGTGCCGGTTTGGTTTTGGTTGCCCTTTTTTTTGTGCTGTTTTTATACCACAAAAAAGCACTTGACGACAGTGTGTTTTTCTAATGGTTTGTGATATCTGAAATTATTTTAAAGTAGCGTCCAACAGAAAGCCTTATAGGACAGCGCTAAGAGCTGCTTAAAGTTCACACAGTTACTCAGCTATTAGGCTCGTGGACGGCAAATAAAGTTCTGGTTCTAAGCTGCACCTGGAACAGATACGCTTGCCTTTTTTTTTAATCACTGAGTTGGTAGGCTGTGAGTTTACCTTTATAAAATACGCTTGAGATGGGTTTAGCCTCGTCATTAATTTTTATCCATAAAGAAATGGATGTTTAGCACAGCAGGATATCTAGGCAGGCAGTGCAAACCGCTCAGTTTGCTTTGAGAACGCTACAGATGTGCTTACAAATTAGACATTGGAGCCTGCTTTCACGCTCCTTGCGTAGAGGGCTTGTCGTGAAATGGGCTCCAAGAGCTAGATTTGGGGAAAGGAGCGCATATGCTTGATAGTAAGTGCTCTGAAGTGCAGCTAAACACACAGGTTTGTTTTTGTCAAGGAAATAATCGCCTGTTTTCTTGCCTAGGTTTTTGTTTTTAAAACTGTTGCTTCAAATGGCTCACAGAAGTGGTGCCTAGAAGTATTATTCCATAACCAGGGAAGCTTTGTAATATCCTTACTTGTTTGTAAACATTTTTTTCCTCTATGGAATTATGCCCTTCCGGAGTTGTAAGAATATAAGACGGCCACTATCCCGAGCGGGATGCGTATGTATCTGCCACGTTACAGTTGCGATTTGTCTCATTTTTAAAGCTGCCCGGGTTAAATAGTCTCCATCCGTTTGGGTTCAAAAGGCGGTGCTTACGGATCTTTTTCTGTCACGTGAACTTACTTGTCAACCTTACCTTGCAGGCACAGAAGCGCAAAATGGATGGTACTCCTGACGGTCGTGGAAGAAAAAAGAAGCTAAAGCTGTGAACGCAGAAGTTTTGTAATCACTAAATTTAAAAAGTAGTTCTTTAATTTACGGGTCTTCATAAGATGTACTGTACAATGCTCAACTATTATGTCATTAAAGGACATCGGGTTCATCTGTTTACTGAACTAGAAACATAGTACTTAATGTAGTTTCACTTTTTTAAATGCAACAGCTGTGCTGACTTTTTTTTACCATTAACACTTGAAATAATAAATAGGCTTCATTTATTAATAGTGCTTTACTTGGCTTTCTTTCCATTCATGCTCCCGCCTCGGTACCTGTTATTTATTCGGTCATCTCAGAGTTGCAGGATTTGCCATTTGTTTTTAACATCAAGCGGCGCTACAAACACTGAGCAGCTGAGGTGGGTTTTTTGGTTCCGTTTGGCTTTTGCCGAAAGCCGTCGCCAACCAGCTGCCCTTTTTGGAAATTCCATGGCTTTGACTTCAACGTTACTGAACTTAATTTTCACGTAGCAGTATACTTTGTACTTTGACATTAAAACTAATGCCAGGTATCTCACCTGAGGATGAACGAACCGTGAGACAAGAACAAAATCACATTGACTCTGCTTACTATCGCTCACGGCGTAAAGGTAACTGACACTGAAGCTTGTTCTTCCTTACAGTGTCTAAGAATGGTTGCATTAGTGTAGTGGCTAACAGCACACCAACTCAGGTCTCTCGAACAGCTGTGGTAGATGGAGAGATGGTCTTGATTTGCGTGAAAAGAAGTGACGCTGACTCGAGGCGGGGAGATTCTGTGGTGTTGTCACACCGCCGTGTACGCTGTTCAGCCGAGCCAGCAGGACAAAACAGCTCCATTTGGGAGTGGCTCCTATCCTACCTTGCTGTCTCAGACACGTTATGGCTACAATTGTTTGATTCCCAATGACATCATCTAATTTAGTATAGTTTTGGAATTCATTAGCGGGGGAAATGAAGAGAACTAATTGTCCATTTCTACTAAGTTAACTTTTCTCAGTTTCAGCTCTTTCAAGAACAGTTATCAAAAGGCATCATCATTGTAAGAAGAGGGGGAACTGGAATTCAGGAGCAGAGAACAGGCTGACTTACCATTTTTTGCTTTTCAAAACGTCACAAGCAGAGTTAAGCAAACCCACCGGAAAAAAAAATGTAAAAGCCACAATGTTATGACAGTCCTAGAAAACACTATTCTAGCTACCAATTACTTACACTTAAAGTAACCTTCAGCAAAAAACTGTACTGCTCTAGGCTTCCTTTAAGATCATTACTTTGCAGAAAAACAAAAACAAAGCCAACTGCAAGCCAGCCCAGCACCAAAAGCCACAACTCCAAACCAAGTAACCGTAATTGTTTACGAGTAGCCAAAATAAAAAACTTTCATGGAAGTGGAGAGAAAAGATGTATCAAATAGCTCAGCAGCAATTGCTTTGTGCTAGCACATCCTAAGTGCCACCACGGCAAATGAAACAAACCAAACCTTATCTTCCCAAACTGAAGCTCCGTAGCATCACCTTTCTTTCAGGTACAAGTTAAACAAAATATTTGCTGTGGAAGCGCTGGGTAGCTGGCCGAACACAAGGATTCACAAGGATTCCTGCAAAGGGAAGTAAGAAATTACTGTATAACACAGGAAAGCACTAATATTGTTTTAAAACAAAAAAATCTGTTTAAACGTGTTTGAAAACTCTTTCTGCCAGTCTGTGAAAACTAATACATTATTTTTCTAGTGAGACCTTAACAAGACAGTTCTAATTCTTGTTTAACAGTCTCCTTCTAACAACTGTAGTTTTACAGCCTTTTCCCATAGGAGTCTCCCACCGCTGTCCGTAGGCCCAAAGTTCTTTATGGAATGAGACAAACCCAGTGCTATCCTTCATTGAAAAGAAAAGCTTACCCCTCGGTTTTCGTTATAAAACTTGTATGTCCCTCCTCACTGGAATTTTTTTTTTTTTTAAAGCAAAATAGTTAGTTGTATGATACCTAAGTATTTTATACATAAGTAAAAGAAGTATCTCTCCAAGCACCAAGCTTCTGCGGCTGATAGAAGACACATTTACTGCAGCATATTCCAAACATTAAAAAAGCAACAATATTGTAGGGTGGTTTTTTTTGTTTGTTTGTTTGTTTTTTAAAAAACAACAGCTTCTGTTCAAAACATTCTGATTTGAATTCTGTAAGTCACACACCAATAAATGAATGCAACATTCCCAGAAATAGCTGCTGATTAGAAGCAGTGCGTGAGCCAACACCTGAACCGGAGCGCAGCCAATCGTCTGTGTAACAGGGTGAGCCGAGAGCCACATTTCAGAGCCTGCTTCCAGATGAAATCTCATCCTAAAAGACAAGCAGCCTAGAAACTGGTTGGAATTCTGTACTGACAGCGCTGCTGTAGCTGACGGGTGCCTTGCAATCTGAAGCAGTGGCGGTTTCCTGCATGTCAATAAAAGAAAAGTTTCGACTGCAGCGCACAGGAGAAACAGCAATGCTGTCAAACCCCTGATAGTAAATAAAATACTGTTTGCAGAGTTCCTCCTCGTGCTTTCCAGAACTGGCTTGTTACATACAGTGTGCCAGTTTGGAGAGCTTGTATTTCCGCCTGTTGACAGCTTTGTGGGAACGGTCCATTGCAATTCTGAATGTTTGTGCCCCTTCTTTTGTCCACTCCGTTGTCGTGCATCAGGACCCGGGCATCTGGGTTGGCTCTGCTGCTGCATTTAAAGGCGAAAGGTGCTAATTCTAAGGGTAGCAGAGAACAACTTGTGATAGTTGAGACTTCTTTTGCCATTGTACGTGTGTGTTCTCCTTTGCTCTAGCTGTGTAGATGGTGTGAACGCACCATTCAAGGCCTGCTATCACTTTCAGGAAAACAAAGCCCAGATAACCGTAATGCACACGTACTGTAAACTGCAAGATGCTGTGTTGCCAAATATGTCTTGTAAAATTGATGGCAAAAATACATGGTGATAGGATTAATTTTTAACGCAGCTTTCTGAAGTAGGTCAGGTAAATGTCTTCTACAAGAGCCTGTTTCTTTCTAGCAGTAATGCAGAAGGGTTACTGCAACTACCGCACGCTCTGGACTTAATATCTATCTGTACGTACCAGGGCCTTGAAACTGTACAAGAAGAGGGGGAGTCAGACAGACAATCAGACCCCCATTCTCTGGGCTGTACTCGGGCACCTACCTACCACTTTCTGCATATTGCAGCCGAAGAAGTCACCGAGGTTCTGAACTGGATCCACCATCGCTCAGCCGTAGATTTCAGATTGTAGGAAACCACGTTGATACACTTCACATACTTTCAATCAATCTGAAATTAGTAAAGCAAGTCATTACCTAAGGTGAAGTGCATTTGTTATGTTCGCACTTGAAGACAGCCACGCTCCAGGACTGTTACAACTAATATATAACGTGGCAACCCACGGTACTACAGAAGCACAGAATCACAGACTGGCCAGGGTTGGAGGGGACCTCAAAGATCATGAATGTCCAAACCCCCTGTCACAGGCAGGGCCTCCAACCTCCCCATTTCATACCAGCCCAGGCTGCCCAGGGCCCCATCCGACCTGGCCTTGAACACCTCCAGGGATGGGGCGTCCACAGCCTCTCCGGGAAGCCTGTTCCAGCACCTCACCACTCTCTCAGTAAAGAATTTTCCCCTGACATCCCCTGACATGGAGATTTTCCATCCTGAATCTCCCCTCCCTGAACTTAAAGCCATTTCCCTTTGTCCTGTTACCTACCCTTTCAAAGAGTTGATTTCCCTCCTGTTTGTAGGCTGCCTTTAGGTACTGGAAGGCTGCAATGAGGTCACCCTGCAGCCTTCTTTTCTCTAAATAAGCCCAGCTCTCTCAGCCCGTCTTCATAGGGGAGGTGCTCCCATCCCCCATCATCTTCGTGGCTCTCCTCCGGACAACATTCACGTATTCCCTGCAAACCGACCAGAATTTCACATACTGCAGTCCTGCGCTTCAGTATTTTTTACCTGTTACCATTCACACTGATGCAGTTCTCACGGTGCCGCGCTAAGTAAGCTTTTTCGGTCACTAGAGGGCAACCCACATTCGCGTATAAGAAGCTACCCGCTCCGATAGCCTCCTAGCAACCAAAACGAAGCTCGTAGCAGAACAAGTGGGTTTCAGACAAGCGGCTCAAGTAAGGGACCAAATGAAAACAAAATCACGTCTGATCTAAGACTACTTTTACCAAGAGTTTTCCTAGAACCTGTTAACAGCTCTGGGCAGCGAGTGAGAGCATCTACCCTAGGTCAGAACAGAATAATACCAAAAAAAATTCCAGAGTAAGCAGCTTGGACCAAGCCAGATACAGCTATTGTGCATTCCAGTCTCAATTGGAAACAGCTGTAGAATCAAGTCCTGAGGGCTCTCAGGTGTACAAGCATCCAATTGTTCCACTTTGGATTGAAACGCTAACACCGCTTAGCCCTCTCAAAACCGTGCAACTGGTTCTATAGTAGGCAGCTTTAAAGCAAAACAAGCTCAGCGAAGGCGATGTGTGACTGATTACACAGCGGCTGAGCCAGTTTTCAGTACTGCAGTGTCAGGTACACGCACGTAAAGTCTGCACTTACCTTTGGAATGCTTTTCCTCTCAGAGCCCATAATGTGAACGCAAGTGCATCATCATTTGTCACGGTTGTACTATTTCTGGTTATCGGTGTCCCGCATCATAACAGCATGTAGCGCACCAGGAGTTAAGAAGTTCATGTTCCAGTTCCATGGACGGTCAATGCGCTGCCAAACGGTGTATTTTATTGAACTGTTCTTGAAGTGAGAAGTCTCGAATGCACGAGTCGTTCCACTGCAGAACTCCACTGTCACTGCAGACAATTTGTAATTTGTTTTAAGTTGAATCAGTGTAAACTTAATAAAGTATATCAGTCTAAACTTTATAAATTGTCTTATGTGCATAAAAAGGATCTGTTGGGTCTAAATTATGACCTCTAAATTTTCTTTCGGTATTTTACAGAAATTGAAAACAAGGGTGGGTTGATACACTGCAACTCATTTTTCCACCAGTTTCCTCATGCAAAAACACACGCAATTCATTTTTTTTTTTAGCAAGACAGAGTTGTAGGCAAACAATGCTTAAAAACACACACGCATCCCTGCGAAGGAATTCCCATTTGCTTATAAATTGCCTTTGTCTTTCTGAAGTATAAAACTGGCTATAAGATGCCACGGCTGATTCAGAGGAATCGCGCTCGGTGGTATTTTACCTAGTGTTACTTTAACAAAGGATTACTGCAATGATTAGAAACAGTGGGGGAAAAAAAGTTGCTTAGAAGTTTGCTCAGGCATTCGAGACGCAAGAGAATTCTACAGGTGACGGAAGCCTTTCAAACAGTCAAAATCAGAGCTGGCAGCTCTAATTTTTGGAGCCAAAAACCCCACTAAGGAGGCACCGATGTTGTCTCTCCACACACTGCGATGCCCTCACGCTACCTGAAATTACTTCCCCGAACCTCCTGTACCGTTTTCCCTCACAGCAGAGCGTAAATTACTGAGCCCAGGTTTTGCCAGAAGTGACTCATCATTCCAACTAGCCACGCTGAAATTTTAGAGATGGATCTCTTTATTTGTGTCACTCAGGAGATGCTTAGAGTGAGATTACCGATTGCTCTCCTTCGTGCTGAACTCCAAGAAAAATATCCCATTGACCTCAAAGATCAAGGAATCGGGCTCAAAGGGCTCACACGGGACTGATTCCTGGACTTTTAGGGAACCACTACGCTTTGATGATGTTAACCTACCTTGAAGTTACGAATGAACTAGGCCAGGGATCTGTTGTTAATGCCTATTTGAATTGTAAGACGTGATGAAAAATGGATCTGCATTTAGATCACTCACTTGGACATTTCTCTGAAATACTTTATCGGCCTGTATTATGCCCTCCGTAGTCCATTTCTATTTTGCACATCAGTAAAACCTGTAGACAATAGAGGATTGCTGAGTAACAAACACACATTCGCTGTCACGGAAATGACAATGACTTCAAGTGTTAAGATGAGGAAAACCGTCAAAAATAGAAGGGCGTAATTCAAGAAACCGTTACGCACCCCAGAGGAGGGAGTTCTGTGGATTTAATTAAAAACCCTACAGAACACGTGACTGTCAAGGAAAGCACACCCCGTACAATTCAATAAAACCTTCCCCTTGTGCGGGTGATATTCCGTTACGCGCAGGAGAAACGAAGCAGAACACAAAGGGACAATGGCAAATTAACAGGGGACAGACCTTTTCATAGCACAAAATTCTATTATTTGACAACCAAGGAATTCGAACAGAAAGGATGAAATGATAAGGAAAAAAAAAAAAAAAAAAAAACCCAAAAAATACCCCAAGAAGAGGTCTCATTTGTTTCCAGAGCAGTTAGGACAGAGAGTATACAAAGGTAATTAAGCTATTATTTAATGACGAGAGTAAAAAAGAAGGGATTGCTAAAGAAACCTCACCGACACCTAGTCTAAAAAGGCACGCATCTTACAAAGCACTCGAATAAGCGGCAAGAGAACTTTTCCTAACGCTGCGTTATTCAAAATCAAATGATCCAACTTATCTCTGTGAGCACTCTATTTGCCTTTTCTCTGATCTCTCCATTCTTTTCTCACTGGACTCAAGTACCCTTCACGGCTTGGGACAGGAGTGAAGGAAAGGAAACCTTTCACGTTTGAGGGGTGAGGGAAAGCAAAGCGGAGACGGCACGCAGCAGGGGCCTCTGGAAACCTTTAAGGCCGGGGACGTTCTTGGGAGGGGTGATTCTCTATTTCTATCGCTCCATTTGTGTCAGACGCGAAGTGACCCCTTTGAATTAGGCACAACTGTTTAACTTAACTAACGAATCCCACAGCGAGGCGAGGAGGATAAGCACGTTACAAACTCCAGTGTAAAGTGTAACGCAAGCTCTTAATTCACATTTAGAGTCCACGTGTCTAACTGTCAGGGCCGTAACGAGGCCCGGCTGCGACTCCCAGGTGCCGGGGCCGCGGCCCCCCGGGCGCAGCTGCGGCTCGTCGGGAGCCCAGGGCACGGCCCCCCCCCGACGCCTTTTAAGCTCCGCCGGAGGCTGCGGGGAGCTACCGGGAGATTTCTGAGGATCCTCTGCCTGTCGGTGTGGGTTTCGTTCCTTCCTGGAGCGCTGGCGCTACGGGGGTTGAAAAGCGGCGCGGGGATGTGCTTTGTCAATGCAACGGTGGGGCTCTGTTTAACGTTCTCTGTTTGTTGTCTTGTTTCAGGCTGCTGTGAGTCCTTTGGCGGTCAAGATCAGCCCGAACAGGTAAGCGCTTTTGATAGCGATGGCACAGCGGAGAGTCCGGGAGTCGTCACAGGTTCCCGGTGTGCGGCAGGACTCTGCCGGGCCGTCGCCTCGCTCTTTTCGGGTCCGGCGTGGGAGCTGCCGCCGGGCTCCCTTGGGAGCCGGTATGTCGTCGCTGCCCGGCTCCCGTTGCTTTCCCAGAACGGGCTGCGGCTCAGCTTCTGGAATCCTAGCCCAGCCCCGGGATGCTCTCAGCCCCCACGAGGTTCTTCGGGGCACCGCTTTAGTTTTTCTGTTGTCCTCGGTGGGAGCGAGCGGGATTCTTTCCAGCCCCATTCCTGCAGCCTCGGTGCTGCCGGGAGCAGGAAGCAACGCGAAGGGCTGCCGAAAGATTTACTTTTTTTGCAGGCTGAGCGAGGGCTGCGGCGGATTTTCTCGTCAGTCCGAACAGGTGGGTTTAGGAGTCCTTGAGTAAGTTCTCTCTTTCGGGGCTTTGTGTAGGGTCGCTTTCACGTAGCTCTTTAGAAGGGCCGGCACGGGGCTGCCGCTCGACTGCCCGAGACCGAGCCCGGCCCCGGGGCGGCCTCAGCCTCCGAGTAGCGTTTTGCGGGTGCTTCAGTCCCTCTCGCTTCCAATAGCAGGTGCTAACCGGGTGGGACAGTGTATTCCTCTCCCCTCCCCGTCCTTTACGTCTAAAACCAGGAGCATCACTTTGCTCCCGTTGTGGAGACACGGCAGGGCAACTTGCACGACAGGCGTGCTGTCGCGGATGGCTGTGTTCTTATTATGAAACTGTGTTCTTATTAGGGAAGTCAGACCAGCGAGGTGATGGAGCAGCTTTTCCAGTGAGAGAACAGGGATGTATTGAGCCCTGCCTACTGAGGAATGAAGAAGTAGCAGAACAGTTGCCCGTGAGGCTGAAACAGCAGGTAAATGAGTGTTACAGGGGGGCGCTGGTTACAGACCAGCGTGAGGATGTCGATGAGAATTTCTGCACACAGCTTAAAGTAGCCTCACGGCTGTAGGCTTTTTTTTTTCCTCACAGTAGACTGGAGCCACTGTGCCAGCTGTCAGGAGAGCAAGGATAGCAGGTTATCAATCCAGGGGTTTCCTGCAACGTATTGAAGGTAAAAAGTTCTGACACGGGTGACGGAGGAGCCAGTGAGAGAGGAGCGCCTCTGGAGCTTGCTCTCCCTGTTGCGGAAGCGAAGCGTAGGGGCGGCCTCGAGCACGACTGAATTCTGGATGTCGTGTGGAGGATGAAGAGTGGGACTTGCAGGAAGACAACTTAGTCCTCCTAGAGGACTTATGCGGAGGTATGTCCTGCTAGAGCATCAGAAGGGGTCCCGTGAGCAGTTGTGCTCACATCTGCATTTCAAAGAGGAGAAGCTGAGCAGAAATGGCAGGAGATCCGTGGGGGTGAATGAGGAGCTTGCCAATAAGCTCAAGGGGAGAAGGTAAAGATGCGATGAGGAAGGCCATGGCTCACTAACGGTATCGCCGTTGGGTGGGGGATCAGGGCTAACGGAAATTGTGTGTTTCTCAACAGCAGTAAGGAGACTCGGGAACAGCGGGCCTCTGCTATACAAAGGAGGGGCCCTGGTGACGGAGGATGTGAGAAAGAGGAGGTACCAAATGTTTGTTTTTACTTATTTTGTTTTTTTTCAGTGGTTGCCGCTGAGATCGCTCCTTGATGATACCCCAGGAAAGCCTTTGAGGAAGGGTGACTTCCTGTTGATTGCAGAGGAGCTGGTCGAAGGTGAGATGAAATGGTTTGCAGATCCCTGGCCCTAGCGGGATACGCCTGAGAGTACTGCGGTAGAAGCGATTGCTGCCTGGTTGTCTCTCACTTTCCCTATGGTCTTTCTTGTAGGAAAGATGTGTGAGAACTCGAAGATAGCTGGCGTCGCTGCAGCCTTCAGAAGGGGTGAGGATGGCCTGCGCCAAGGTAGGCCAGTTGGCCGTGACTCCATCCCCCAGAAGATGATGCAGCAACATCTAGATAGCATCATGGAGCAGCAGGAAGAGAAGAAACTTCTAAGGAGGACTTCAGGTGGATTTGCGGAGGGGAAATCAGGACAGACCAACAAGGTCGCCTTGTGTGTTGTTGGTACCGTTTTGGTTTTTCTGAGAGAAGGCTGGAGGATGTCGCCGGGGGAATATGGCTACCGCTACAAATATCTGAAGCGCAGGAGTCCAGCCGATGGAGATCGGCTCATCTGCAGAGCAACGGGAGCAGCTTGGAAGGACTTGCACTGCAGAAGCTCTATACAAAGAGAAGGAAGAATGACTTCACCGTGTGAGCGACGGAATAGGCTGCAGAGTCTGCTACTCTGGGGCTGTTCCGGTTGCTTTCCTGGGTGATGGGCGGCTTCAGCAAGGGAGCGGCTCTGCAATGGTGTTTATTTTTCAGGGTGAGGGCTGCAATAGGTGCCGGTCAGAGGATGTTGACGGAGGTCTTCCCGCAGGTCCGGAGTGAGGCGAGTTTTGTCTTCTCGTCCTGCCCCCGGGATGGAGTTCACGGCTGGGACTGGGCGCTGGTATGCTTTTGTTTCAGGCCTGAAAGAGTGGCAGATCTTGCGGTTCTTCCAGAGGAGGAAGGGAGTTGGAGGAGCGAGAGGTGAGAGAGGCACCACACGCAGCGGCGGCGGAGCTGCGGCGGCCCTTTTCTGCTGGAGTTGGTTGTCTCGTCTCTTCCGGTGAAGCGGAGCACCCCAGAGTCGCCTTCTTTCAGCGCCGGCGCCTCAAGAGCAAGGCTGCGATACTGGCGTACGTGGAAGTGGCAGAGCTTACAGGTAGGCCTGTGCTTTTTGTATTTCATAGGGTCCTGTTGACTTATTGTTTTCTTTAGAGATGGCTTGTTAGTCAGTTTGATTTTGAAAGAAGGTGACGGGGGTACTGTGTAGTTGCTGCTGGTGCTAGGAACTGAGATTTGGCGTTGGTTTGTTTTTTCTTGGTGCTGGAAAGCGTAAGTTGGAATTGGCTTGTATGTTAGGTTTCCTTTTTGTTTCCTTCGGTGCTAGAAACTGAAAAAGGGAATTGGCTTGCGTTATGCTTTTGTCTTTGGTCCTAGAAACAGATTTGGCGTTGGCTTGTTTTTTCTTGGTGCTAGAAGCTGTAATTAGGAGTTGGCTTGTTACGTTGTGTTTTTTTTCTTGGTGCTAGGAATTGAAATGTGGTGTTGGCTTGTTAGTCAGTTTGGTTGTTTTTTCTTTGGTGCTAGATTGTTTGTTAGTTGGGTTTTTCCATTGGTGCAAGAAACTGATTGTTGGAATTGGCTTGTTAGGTTTTTTTCTCTGGTGGTAGAAACTGATTTGGTGTTGGCTTGTTTTTTCTTGGTGCTAGAAACTGTAATTAAGAGTTGGCTTGTGTTATTTTTTTTTATTGGTGGTTTGAATTGAACTTTGGCTTTTTGTTGAGTTTGGTTGTTTTTTTGTTTGGTGCTAGATTGTAGTTGGAATTGGCTTGTATTTTTTTATTGGTGGTTTGAATTTTAACTTTGGCTTTTTGTTGAGTTTGGTTGTTTATGGTTTGGTGCTAGATTGTAGTTGGAATTGGCTTGTATTTTTTTATTGGTGGTTTGAATTTTAACTTTGGCTTTTTGTTGAGTTTGGTTGTTTTTTGTTTGGTGCTAGATTGTATTTTTTTTTATTGGTGGTTTGAATTTTAACTTTGGCTTTTTGTTGAGTTTGGTTGTTTTTTTGTTTGGTGCTAGATTGTAGTTGGAATTGGCTTGTATTTTTTTATTGGTGGTTTGAATTTTAACTTTGGCTTTTTGTTGAGTTTGGTTGTTTATGGTTTGGTGCTAGATTGTAGTTGGAATTGGCTTGTATTTTTTTATTGGTGGTTTGAATTTTAACTTTGGCTTTTTGTTGAGTTTGGTTGTTTTTTGTTTGGTGCTAGATTGTATTTTTTTTTATTGGTGGTTTGAATTTTAACTTTGGCTTTTTGTTGAGTTTGGTTGTTTTTTTGTTTGGTGCTAGATTGTAGTTGGAATTGGCTTTTATTTTTTTATTGGTGGTTTGAATTTTAACTTTGGCTTTTTGTTGAGTTTGGTTGTTTATGGTTTGGTGCTAGATTGTAGTTGGAATTGGCTTGTATTTTTTTATTGGTGGTTTGAATTTTAACTTTGGCTTTTTGTTGAGTTTGGTTGTTTTTTGTTTGGTGCTAGATTGTATTTTTTTTTATTGGTGGTTTGAATTTTAACTTTGGCTTTTTGTTGAGTTTGGTTGTTTATGGTTTGGTGCTAGAATAGATTTTGGTTTTTTCTTGGTGGTAGGAATTGAAAGTTGTGGTGTTTTGCTAGAGGGGGGAAAAAGAAAAAAAAACTTTGTGCCATTGTTTTTTTTGGGTGCTAGACACTGGATGCTGCACTATCTCTAAAGAGATATATTTTTTTTTTTTTGGGAGGGTGGTGGGTTGATTGAACTCGGAATTTTGTGAGGGAGGGGGGCGCCGGGGCCCTCCCCTGGAGGGAGGGGGGCGCCGGGGCCCTCCCCTGGAGGGAGGGGGGCGCCGGGGCCCTCCCCTGGAGGGCCCGGGAGGGAGGGGGGTGCTGGGGAGCCTTGCTTACCTAGAAGGGAAGTTGCTGCTCTGCTCTCAACTTCTTTTTGAGTGTAGCTGGTGGAAAAGGTGAGTCTAATGGAAAAATAAAACAATGGAAGTGCCCTTAAAGCTTTCTTGTGAGAGGTCTGTGAGGCCAAATTGCTTTATAGTTCTGGAGAGTTTTTTGCATTTGTATGTCTCTTGTAGTTAAGTTTTAATCCTTATCTAAGATGATGCCTGTTGTGAAAAGTCCTCAGTTGTATCGGGGACAGGTAATGTAAAGGCTTAAAAAAGATTGTGTATTTAAGTAGTGAAGAATTGGGCCTCTGTTTTAAGAGAAATATCTTTACCTGTTCTTCTACAGGTTTGCGTCAAGAAGAAGGTCTATGCGTAGCTCTGTTCTTCCTCTTTCCGTGTGCTTCCCCCAGAAACTGTAAACGTCTACGGTTGCTTCCAAGTGCTGGGAAGCAGGTGATGATGCGTCTGTTTTCTTAGAAGATTTCTCATTATTATTATTATTATTATTGGAAATGCTGCTTTTACCAAAGGCAAGAATGCTCTGTTAGGAATTTACATTACTAACGTGGACTGCGATGGAATGGCTGAATGCAGTTACCTTAAGTTTTTGTGGAGGCCTATTTGTCTTCAACTTAACAAAACTAGAACTTCTAACTTTATCCGGGGGAAAAAAAAAGAGGATGTGCTGGTTATTTGTGTACTTAAGACTCATTCCCTAGCTATGACCCTAGCTTAGTTATCTCAGGGGACGAGAAAGGGGACAAAAATTACTCCTCTTGCAATCATCAAATGAGCATTCTATGTTCTCTAAAAAAAAAAACAAAAACAAAAACCACCAAACTAACAAAACCAGGAAGACATAAATCCGTATAGAACAGTTTAACGAGTTATCTACTTCAAAACTATAATGTATAAAACTTGCATTACTCACTGAACTGAATTGTGTGGAGTGCTTCCTGGGTGTGCCGTGCTGCGGTTGAATTTCGGAATAATGATCCTTCTTGAATTTGGTAGAGCTTCCTGAAGTTGAAGGCGAGGGACCTGTTGGGAGAGCAGAGCGATGACAACTCTTTCAAAAAACTTTAATCTTTTTAAGTAAAGTACACTGATAATTCTCTGCTTTTCAGCTAGATAATGCAAACTAGAGCTTCTCAAATAAACGCTTTACCTTAGCTTTTGTGAAGTTAGTTTCCCTGCGCTTTCACCCCCGACTGTAATGCGAACGACTCGAAGCTGTCCTCCTTTGCGTTTGCCTTGCCTGTAAAATGAAGTGAACTGTTTGGTTTCTGCCTTTGTGTGAGATGTTTGTGTGTAGTGGGTTGCCTCTCGATAGAAGAGTTGGCAATTATTCATTTGCTTTGCTGTGAATTGTTTTGCAGAATAAGATATTAACAAATTCAGGACAGAAACTGCAGCTAGTTTACTGAGCTGTAATGCTGCCCTAGCGTAATTGCAACTCTATTTAAGTGACTAGGTGATTTTCTTCATGAGGAGAAGATGGCTGCAGGTCGTTAGCATGTCATTTCCTGCGGACAAGAAGAACACGAATTAGAAAAACCCTCCGCAGGAAATTGTACTACTGAGTTTTGGGAGAAAAGTAATCAATAAACTTAACGTTGCAATGAAGTGTGTGTATATGTTGTATTTGTTTACAGAATCAAAAAGAGGGGGTGTGGAAGAGACCTTACCCTCCTACTCCTGCGCGAGACCGAGACAGCCTCCAATTCCATCTCCACGAGCGTTGTCCAAATGCTACCTTAACTCACAGCTGGGGAAGGGACTCCTGCCACCCCTGCCCGGTACGGTCTGTGCAACCCTAGGGGGCAGATGCTCCTTCTCCCAACTGTCTGTCACCTGACGCAGCTCTATGCTGTCCTGTCAGGGCTGCTTGCTGCCGCTGCTCGGCGGCTGCCTCCTGTGTGAGGAGCTGTAGCCTGCTGTGAAGCCTCCCCTCGGCCTCCTCTGGGCTGAACTAAGTGTAAGAGCAGGGCAGCTTGTCGCAAACCTGTACCCCCTGGCTCTCTCTGTCTTGTATCATAGAAGCAAAAAGGTGGGTGGAAAAGGTCGCTAAGATCATCTAGCCTAACCCTCAGCTCTTCCCTGCCCCATGCTTAACCTGTGAAACTCAATGCGACAGCAGCCCTTTCATCGGCGCTTCGACAAAGAGACTCCTCCTGCTCCTTAGGCATTCTTGTGGAAAAGAACTTCTACTTTTCAACCAGAATCTCCACTAGTGTAACTTAGGGCTGTTCCCTAGCGCTGAGCTACGTGGGAATAAAAGCGGATCTTTCCTTCACTACAGCTTTCTTTGTTGTAGTTGTGGAGAGTGAGCTTTAGCTCTCCGCTGGACACTCTAATAAAATATATTTTTTTTAAGCTGTGGTCATAACTGCAGGCAGTTATGGTCTGTACATAAAACTGGTATGGACCCATCCCTGGTGTAGAAACTCATCAAACTTGATGCTACTGGGACTGTGCGGCGTACTACTGCATTGAGATCTCTGCCCAAAGCCTTTTACCCACAAGGGCTCAAAAGATCCTCCTCGTTTAATGTCGTCCACAAACTTACTCGATCCACACTCAAGTCCCCTGTCCTGAAACTGAGAAGAAAGCTGGCTCTGAAAACAAGCCCTGTGCGCCTTGTTTAGCCACTGTCCGCCAAGCTCTAGCAATCCCGTTTAACACTGCGAGCCTCTTCTTATGGGGCCAATTAATAGGTCACTGTTTTGTTGGTTTAAAGAATTGCGATTGGAAATGCTGCTTTCTAAGGCGGAGTTCAGTTTTTGGACATGCTTGCCTGACAAGGATTTTCCTTACGT